GATATAATTGAAAGGTAGACCAAGCATTAAAACCATTTTGAATTGTTTTCATCTTAAGGGATTTAGATTAACTTTTTTCCTAAGTGAGTAGCCAAGTGTCCAAACACTATAGTTGTCATTCATCTTTTTCCTCATTGATTTAAAATGATTTTTTTGTGTTTTTTTTTTTGGCATATGCTAAATTCCATACTTTTTCATCTTTGTTCTGTATTCTAGATCCTATTTTATCCATATGTCACTACCAAACCCTCGATTTCTATAGTAATTACTATAGTTTTATATTTTAATATTTGGTAGAACTGTTATTGTTGTTAAGTGCCTTCAAGTAGCTTCTGACTCATAGAGACTCAGAAAGTTTCCAAGGAGCAGCTGGTGGGTTTGAACTGCCAACCTTGTAGTTCACAGTGCAATGCTGGTCATTGTACCACAGCAAGAGTGCTTGGTAGAGCCAGTCCATTTTTTATTTAAAGAATCTGTGGCTATTCCAGCAATTTCCCTGAGGTATTCTACCTAAGGATGTCTTTAGTATCCTTGCAGCAAAAAAAAAAAAAAAAAAAAAATTAATCTATTATTTCTTTATTGGAAATGTACAGAATTTATAGATTCATTTAAAGTGAACTAACATGTTTTTTTAGAGTCCTTCCATTCATTCAGTTTTTGTAAGCTTCCCAGTAGATATTTAAGTTACTCTTATATCTCATATTATATTTATCCCTGGGTATTATTATCAATTTGCTATGTAAATAGGATGTTACATTATATTTTCTAAATGGTAATGTTTTTATGTAGGAAAGTTACTTATTTAAAATTTTTAAATTTTATATGTAGATGTCCTTATTGATTTTTTTTTTAAGTTTCTGGTAGTTTTTATTTCTTGTTGGTTTTTTTTCAATTCAGTTAAACCTTGGATTTCACAGGTATGCAATCATGTCAACTTCAAATAATAATAGCTTTGTGTTTTCCTTTTCCATTTTTACACCTCATCAATTTCATTTGGCAATTTAGTAGTTTGTTGTGGAAAATGTTCAATGTAGTGTGGATAATTTTCTTCATTATCTTATTCAAATTGAACTTTAAAGAGAATTCTGCTAATGCTTCAGCTTTAATTAACAAAGTATTCGGATAGCTTTCGTTGTTGTTGTTAAGTGCCCTCCATTTGATTCCGACTCATAGTGACTCATAGGATTTTCTGGGGAAAAAAAGCAGGTGAGCTTGAACTGCCGACCTTGAAGTTCAAACCAAATTTACAGTCCAATACATTTACCCGCAGCACCACACCAGAACTCCCTACACATGAAGAGAGAGACAGTGTGTGTCCTGGTTTAAACACTGTAGGATAAGCGCTCAACCTCAAGTTCAGTTTGAACCACAAAGCTGGTGGTTGAACCTCACCAGACACTCCTTGGAAACCCTGTGGTGACTGACTGGTGGTGTGCCATGCAGTCACTTCAGACTATAACAATCCTGCATAGGGTTTCTTAGGCTGTAAATCTTTACAGGAACAGAAAGCCTCATCTTTTTCCCTGAGAAACTGCTGGTAGTTTCAAACTGCTGACCGTGAGGTTAGCAGCTAGACTCGTAACCACTATGCTACCAGAGCACTGGGTAATTATGAGTCAGAATCGACTCGAAGGCACTTAACTGTCTCTCTCTCTCTCTCTCTCTCTCTCTCTCTCTCTCTCTATATATATATATATATATTCACACATATACATATATAGACAGATAGATCTATATATATAGAGATATAGATACAGATATAGATATATGAAAACATGCTCAATTTACTTGTAACTTGAAAATGCAAGTTGACCACATCTTAAGGCTATCTTTCTCATACCACTAACCCCAGCACCATTTAAAGAAAGAAATACATTCTGTCTAGTCTATCAAATTGTGGATAGCATTGCAAAGAATAGGAATTCTAGAATACTTAACTGTGCTTATGTGGAGCTGGTACATAGAGCAGGAGGCAATCATTTGAACAGACCAAGATGATACTGCCTGGTTTAAAATCAGGAAGTTGTGTGTTATGGTTGTACCCTTTCACTAAGCTTATTCAATCTGTGTGCTGAACAAGTAATCAAAGAAGTGATGATATGCAGAAGAACGAACATCAGGATTGAAGGAAGACTCATTAACAACCTTTGATGACAGATGACACAATCACACTTGCTGAAAGTGAAGAGGACTTTTAGCATTACTGATAGACTATGGTGTTCAGTATGGATTGTACATCAGTATAAAGAAAACAAAATCCTCACAACGGGTGCAACAAGCAGCATCCTTATAAACAGAGAAAAAATTTGAAGTTGACAGCAGTTTGACTTAGATCCACAATCAACACTCATGGAAGCAGCAGTCTGTGGCAAAAGACTTCTTTAAAGTGTTGAAAAACTAATAAACAAAGATCTCACTTTGAGGACATCCAACCCAAGCCATGATAATTTCAATCATCTCAATTGTATGCAAAAACTGGTCAATTAATGAGGAATTGGTGCATTTGAATTATGATGCTGGGGAAAATATTGAATATACCATAGGCTTCTAAAAGAATGATCAAATCCATCTTGGGAGAAGAACAGACATAATGGTCCTTGGAAGTGAGGGTAGCAACACTTTGTTTCACATACTTTGGATTTGCTACAAGAAGTCCCTGGAGGTCATCATGTTTGGTAAAGAAGAGGGTCAGCAAAAAGAAGCCACTCAACAAAATGGATTGACAAAGTGGCAGCAAACAATAGGTTCAAATATGGCAACTGCTGTGAGGATGGCACAAGATTGGGCAGTGTTTTGTTCTCTTGTACATAGGGCCTCTATGAGTTGGAAGACCCTACGTACAGTTTGACAGTACCTGACCACAGCAACAATTTTATCAGCAATGACAATCACTATTCTTTCTGGCACTGTAGGATAAGTGTAAGATCACAAGGTCGGTTTGAATCACAAGGTCAGTGGTTCAAACTCGCCAGTCATTCCTTGGAAATCCTGTACTGGGTCACTATGGGTCGGAACTGACTTGACGGCACTTAACAACAACAACATTCTTTGCAAAGCTCCCATAAAGACACCTGGGTTTAAGAGGTAAAAGAAAAGCATCAATGGTCTCTACAAAGAAAACAATTACAATGATAAGCCATTTCAAGTGTTTGTTGTTGTTAGATGTTGAGTTAGTTCGGACTCAGCAATGCAATGTACAACAGAATGAAACATTGCCCTTCCTGCTCTGTCCTCATACTTTGTTATGGTTGAAACTGTTGTTGACTCCACTGTGTCAGTATCTTGTTGGGGGTCTTCCTTTTTTATGTTGACCCTCCACTTTGCGAAGCATGATTTCCTTCTCCAGGAACTGATCCCTCCTGACATCAAAGCCACAGGAGACATAAAAAGTCTTGACATCCTCATTTCTAAGAAGCATTCTGGCTGTACATCTTCCAAGACAGATTTGTTTGTTCTTCTTGTAGTCCACGGTACTTTCAATATTCTTCTGGTGGTGATGGTGGTGACTGTGTGCCATGGAGTCGGTCCCAACTCATAATGACCCTACAGAGCGTTTCCGAGGCTGTAAATCTTTATGGGAGCAGAAAGCCTCATCTTTATCCCGCAGAACAACTGATCATTTCAAACTGCTAGCCTTGAGGTTAACAACCCGACTTGTAACCAGTACCACAGCTTCCTCAATATTCTTCTCTACCACTATAATTCAAATGCATCAATTCTCTTATGGTCTTCTTTATTAATTGTCCAACTTTCACATACATATGAGGCTATTGAAAATTCAAGAACTTGGGTAAGGCACACCTTAGTCTTCAGAGTGACATTTTTCTTATTTAATACTTTGGAGAGGCTGTTTGCAGCAGATTAGCCTAATGCATATGTTGTTTAATTTCTTGACTGCTGCTTCCATGAGTGTTGATAGTGAATCCAAGCAAAATAAATCTTTGACAACACTTCAATCTTTTCTCTGTTGATCATAGCTTTTTGCGATTATTTTTTAAACTGAGCATAATAAGCAAGTTCCTTCAGCAAGTTTTCTCAGAATTTCATACTCAATGTAGATACTGAAAATACCAGATGAGTTTCAACATGAGCAAGTCATTTGAGAAATCCGGGTATCTGTCCCTCACCTATAAAATGATGACTGTTTATGCCTACCTTAATAGATTATAAGAGTATAAATAGAAATAACATATGTTTAAGTTCTTTATAAATCTCAATTAAAATGTGAAATGTTATTAGTATTTTAAGTATTGCAAGTGGAGGTGGCAGAATATATGTAAAAACTTTGTCTCTCAGATTGTAATCTCATAAGGGTCCCTAACCTATTGTCGCTGTTAATTGCTGTCAAGTCAGCCCCAACTTGTAACAATGCTGTGTAGGGTTTCCGAGAAGTCGCTGGTCAGTTTGAACCAGCCTTGTGGCTAGTAGTCCAATGCTTATACTATAGCACCATACCAGGATTGTCGGTTTGAACCAGGTTTGTGGCTAGCAGTCCAGTGCTTATACTATACCAGGATTCCCTCCCTAACATGCTCCATACCAAATAAACAGTCCTCTGGAGTAGATGATCTTTCTCATATTCTACCTTCTCTTCTGGAGTCCTGATGTGACCCTGTGGGTTAATGTACTGGACTGCAAGGCCAGTTTTAACCGAAAGGTCAGCAGTTCAGTCTCTCCAGTTGCTCCTTGAAAATCTTACGCAGGGTTGCTGTGGGTCGGAACCAACCTTCTCTCCACAACTCCTCAACCTCCCAAGCTTCCTGCACCCCTCCCCATTGCCTGCCCCATCTGCTACAGAGAGTCTGCTTGGGAAGTATTCACACCAGGGAGAGAGGGCCAATGGAAGAGCATAAACAAACACCTTCCTTCCACCCTGTCTCAATCCTCACTCTACTCATTTGGGTTGCAAAGTCAGAGTAAAATACAATTCATCATATATTTGATAGCCATTACCACAGTCAATATATGATTTCAAATATACAGATGATGAGATTACTCACGAGACACAGAGGCACAGGGCTCCTGGCACTGACTCGCTGTCCCTTAACAGATAATTGCCATCCACACCTTCCCTGAGCAGCAAAATCTCACAGTCTCTTTTGGTCAGGGGACCGTGGTAATAAGGGAGATCCATGGAGAGCCTCCTTGTATCCCAGGCTGCCTTATCAGTCTGAAATCCAGCCATAAGTCCAGCACCAGCTCAGAGCAGGGACATGGACTCTAGCAGATGGCCAGTCTGCTGGAGTCTGTGGAAATCTGTCTTCCTCCTCTGACTAGTGGAAGTGAAATGAGGTTGCTCTGTGACAAATAAGTCAGCTTCACAAGCATCAGGAAATGAGAAGAGTGGGTAGTGAAGTGACCACTTCAGTCTATAAATACTTCAGGCATCAATTTCTTTGACTCACAGATGTCCAATACCTTGAGTACACAGTGGAATCAGTGGTGTTCAGTGGCTGGGGTAGCATTGTGAAGCTAAGCTTCTCAGGATTGGGTTTCAGCCTTGTATGTCATCCCATGTTGCTAGACTTTGCCTTCTTTGGCTGCTGGAGTCACTTCAAGGGAGAGCACCACTACTTTTGCTATAACAGGTGCCTATTTTCTTCAGAGGCTGCCTATGATTAGCCACACTGTACTCAAAAAGTTGTTTGGATGCTGAATGAATTCAGATTTGTCCAGATACAATGGGAAGATTGAAAGGATGGGACATTCATAGGTCAAATCACATGAAAAATGAAAGATATCAGCAAGAGAGAAGCCAATTGGACACCTTCATGGATGACAGCTCATCCATGGCCAAGATGCCTAGCTACTAGGGGACAAAAACTGTTTATAACATCTGCAGATATTGTACCTTTTGAGGAGTGGGGCTAATACATGTGAGAGGGAGATTGGATGGGCAGTCAGTGCAAGGATGTTTCTTGTAGGCAGAAGAAAAGAGGATATTGGGGTTGGGTTTGGAAGGTCTCGGTTCCTTATAAAGTTCCCGTCCTTGGGAACAGCAGTGATGTATCCCCATGAAGAAAGAGAGAGAAAAAAATATCTGTCCATCCAGAGACACTTAGTGTCCTTCAGACCTGGAGACATCTAGTGATGATGAGAAAATACTTATTAAAAAAATCTGCTGCCACTCTTCTATCTTGATCAGGTGATACTCTTAGGAAAGGTAGGTAATCACATGATTTCTGTTACCTGAAAGTGAGCATTAGCCTTAAGAGAATTCCAAAGTATTTTTTGAGGAACCAAACCATCTAACACACTATTAATTTCAGATAGAATAATCTGAAAGCATACCTATAATCCAGAAATTAGATTGGATTGCAATTACCATAACACAATGTCAATCAGTATAAAATAAATGTGAAATAAAATGAATTCAGCTGCCTCACTATTATCTATAGGTATCACTACATTTTTCAAGAACATAGAATTCTAAACTTAGAATCATGTGCTCATGATTCACCCTTACTTCTCCTTATTAATTGCTGTGTGTAGTTATTTCATGTTGCTCTTCTACCTACTAGATCTTCTTCCGCACTTGGGAGTTCAAGCTTTCTGAGGAACTGTTTTCCAAGGAACTTCCTCATAGCAGGTCTTTGCTCTTTCTTAACACTCTCACTCTTCTGCTGTGTAAAGAAAACAAAAATCCTCACCACTGGACCAATAAACAACATTTTTATCAATGGGGAAAAAACTGAAGCCGTCAAAAACTTCATTTTGCTCAGATCAACCATCAATGGAAGCAACAGTCAAGAAATTAGACAACATATTTCATTAGCAAATCTGCTGCACAAGACTTTTTTAAAGTGACAAAGATGTCAGTTTGAGGACTAGGGTGTACCTGACCCAAGCCATGATATTTTCAATAACCTCAAATGCATGCAAAAGTTGGACAGTGAATAAGGAAGACCATAGAAGAATTAATGCATTTGAATTATAGTGTTGGAGGAGAATATTGAAGTGCCATGAGCTGCCAAAAGAACAAATAGATCTGTGTTGGATGAAGTACAACCAGAATGCTCCTTGGAAGCCAGGATGACTGGACTTCATCTCTCATACTTCAGACATATTGTCAGGAGGGACCAGTCACTGGAGAAGGATATCATGTTTGGTAAGGTGGAGGGTCAGAGAAAAAGAGGAAGATCCCCAGAGAGATGAATTGGCAAAGTGGCAGTATCAATGGGCTCAAGTGTAGCAACAATTGTAAGGTCGGCCCAGGACCGGGCAGTGTTTCGTTCTGTTGTGCATAGGGTCACTATGAGTAGGTACCAACTCAATGGCACCTAACCACAACAACAACAATTCTGCTGTTTCTGTCCTGGAGTTACACTAATCAGTGACCCTGATATCTGACAGATATGTCTTCAAATCCAAGTTTATCTCTTGCTAACTTGTGTGGCCTTGGGCAGGTCATTATTTAATTCCCAAAGAATTATAAAAGTCAAGGAAAGAATGCTTTTTAATATAACAAAGCAAAACCCATTGCATTCAAGTCAATCTGACTCATGATAACCTTATGTGTGTCAGAGTGGAACTGTGGTCCATAGGGTTTACAATGGCGAATTCATTTTTAGAAGTAAATAGCCAGGCTTTTCTTTTGCAGCACCTCTGGGTGGACACGACCTTCCAAACTTTTAGTTAGGAGCCTAGCATGCTAATCATTTGCACCACCAGAAATTCCTTTCTGACATAAGTTAGAAAATATTTGGGTGCATGCTCAGGTTCTTGGTAATCCCAGGGCCTTGCTCTTTTTTTCTTGTTTTAAAACCCAGTACTCTCACCTCATTGCCATCGAATTAATTCCAACTCATAGCAACCTTGATTGAGTTTCTGAGGTTGTAAATATTTATGGGAGCAGCAAGCCTCATCTTTCTTCCAAGGAGTAGCTTGAACTGTAAATCACTTTGGCAGTATAATCATACAAAAAAACCTACTTATAGATGTGTTGACAATTTTTCATAATTAAAAAATTAAGAAGCAGAAAGAAAAAACTACAATGTTGAGCCTCCAGTACTTTTGATTATCCCTTGCTTTGAACTAGAAACTTTACTAAAGTCCTTCTACTACAAATATATTTGTCACTCGTTTATTTTCCTTTTGATCATATCCTTAAATAAACTTTTTAAACACCATGCTCTCACAGTGCTGATTATTAAAAATACTGGCTTGGTGTTCAATCAATATATGTAGTCCGTGGCACGCAAATAAACGTCTATGCTAATTTGCAGGTGAATACAGCTTCTACATTTATTAACAGTTCTAATTATTTTGTAGAATGCAAAATAGTATTTGCATATAGCATTTTATTTAAGTACCAGGAAAGGGTTTTTTTTAAAAAAAAAAAAAAAAAAGAAAGAAAGAAAGAAATCCTAAAGAGTGTAAAAAAAACAATCTCAAAAGGAGTTGAGACAATCCAATCAAATAAAGAAGGTAAGATGGAAAGATGCAGCATTTGGTGCTTTAGACACAGAAAGGGAGAGGAGGGAGAGGGGCTGTGTGCTGATGACAGGGGGGGCAGGCTTGTAGTGTATACCCTTTGGTTGGTTGATGATGCATGGAGGGGATTGTAGCCATGGCAATGAAATGATTTACAATAAGATGAATGTAAAACTCATGTTCTCCCATGTAAACTATCACATAATTCACAACAAAACATTTTTAAAAAAGAAGGTAAACTTTGTGAATATATATTTTAGGTGAAAATAGGATTAGGCGATTTGTTCACTAGGCATACAAACCCATTGCCATCAACTCATGGAGTCTCAAGTGTTACAGAGTTGGACTGCTCCAGAGAATTTTTTTGGCTGTAATCTTTATGGAAACAAACTACCAAACCTTTCCCCCATGACATCACCTTTATGTTAGTTATTGTTGATAAGTGTCATTGTGTCAGTTCTGAACCATAGTGACAGTGTATAGGGTTTCCAAGGAGCAGCTAGTGGGTTTGAACCACCAACCTTAAACTGACCTTGTAGTCCAGCGCATTATCCTACAGCGCCACATAGGTGAGTTCAAACCATTTGTGCCTCACAGGAATCTACAAAAACATTGTTGTTAGGTGCCATTGAGTTGGTTTTGATTCTCCTACTCATGGTGACCCATGTGTTTCAGAGTAGAAACGTGCTTCGTAGAGTTTTGTTGGCTGTTACCTTTACCAGGAAAGATCTGGTAGTTTCCTTCCATAAAGATTGTTGGTGGTGGTGGTGTGTGCTGTGGAGTCGGTTCCGACTCATAGCGACCCTGTACAGGGTTTCCGAGGCTGTAAATCTTTACGGGAGCAGACCGCCTCATCTTTCTCCCATGGAACAGCTGGTAGTTTCGAACTGCTGATCTTGTGGCTTGCAGCCCGATTCGTAACCACTACGCTACCAGAGCTCCATCAAGATTATAGGCAAAAAACTCTATGAGGTAGTCCTAGTCTATTTCATGAGAATGCTGTTGTTGTTAAATGCCATCAAGTCGGTTTTAACTCATAACAACCTTATATAGGGTTTCTGAGGAGTGCCTAGTGGGTTTGAACCGCTAACTTTGCAGTTAGCAGTCCAATGTTTATCTTACAGTGCCACACCAGGACTCCAATTACCTATGGTTTCTACAAGTGAAAAACAACAGCATCTAACAACAACACATAACAATCTTCACAGAATCAGATTAGCAGATCTTTCTTCTAAGGCATCACTGGGTAGGTTTGAACCACTAACCTTTTAGCTAACAGCTAAGCATTTATTGTGCTACCAAGACTCCTCTTTTTTATGCAGTTTGATATAGATAAAAAGGCTTGAGTCTTGGAACAATACAAGAGGCACTGAGTTTAACCCTGAATGCTCTCCCCACAACAAAACAACCTGATCTAATGTATAATGGAGTGGGCCACACAGTAAGTGGGGATAGGTAAATTAATGGAACCTACTTCATTCTACATAGCAATGACTTTACTACCTGAGGAAACCATAATTGTTAGGTATGTTAGTTTCCATTTGTTGCTGTAACAATCAACCACAAAGTGATTGGCACATTTATTATCTCAGTTTCCATTATGTTAAGTTCAGCAGGCTTAGCTATGTCTCTGCTTATTGTCATTAAGTGCTGTTGAGTCAGTTTTGATTCATAGCAACCCTGTGTATGGTTTCCAAGGAA